TAAATAAACATAAATATATATTATATTATATAAGGAAAATAACCCCTTATCCCCTATTTTTAACTTCTATATCTCATGAGACCCAAGAATTGAAAATATTACTTGTAAGCAAAAGGCCTCCATCTTTTCTATCTTACAGCCCCCTAAACCCATTTGACCATATATTATTGACCTCAACAACTTATGAAATGACTCCCTTTCCTCAAAACTTAACCTCTAACCTACGCCATCTCTCTCTAAACTCAATCTCTCCCTTTCTCTCTCTAAACTTAGCACCACAATCCACCACTCTCTAAACCGCGAGCACTCAGTCTCTCCCTCTCTCTCTCTAAACTTAGCCACCACCGTCCGCCACTCTCTAAAACGCAAGCGCCACCCGTCCGCCACCACCACTTTATACACAAACCCCCATTTTCCCTCTCCAAACCATACACAACCCCTTCATCCATAACCCTTAAACCCCCGCTTTCTCCCCCCTTCTCACTTTTTCGGCAACCCCCTCTACTTTTATGGTAAAAAAACGCTGCCAAGATGATGAGAGCAGTGGCTCCGGCCAAATTTCCGGCCCAAATTAGTACCATTGGGCCTTGCCTTCGCTTTGGTGTCACCTTTTTTGGCTTATTTAAAGGGACCTCTGAAATTTTCGGCCAAAATCAGCATCAAATTTCCGGCCAAAATCGCGACCTCTTAAACTTCACATGGCTTATTTAAAGGGAAGCCACAAAAATTACGGTTCCTGGAAAAAGAAGTTGGTCCTTGGTTTACCAAGTTTCCAGCGGCCAGAAGCGGCCACTCAAGTCATTGTGGGTCAGATCCAAGCTAACAAAAATGGGGAGATTTCCTAAAGTTTCAGGGATTCTACCTAAAAATCTACTGTAGGAGAGGTTTAAAGTCCTAGAAATTTGTCTTAGTATGCCAATTTCTTTTTGCAATTTCTTGGGCATCAGAGTTCAAGAGATAGGCGATGGAGACAGTGGAATTGAAGGTGAGTTGAGAGCTAAAGAAGAGGAAGGTTTCGCAGGGCATCAGAGTTCAGGAGATAGGAGATGGAGACAGGGGAATTGAAGGTGGGTTGAGAGGAAGGTTTTGATACCATTGCAAGTGTAGCCAAGGTTGTTGGAAACTTTAGCGTTGCAGGACAATTGCTTGTTGTTGAGGTAAATTTGTCGGACTTCAGTGGATTGTAGAGAAAGGAAAGAAAGGCTAAAGAGCTAGAAGAAATAAGGCATGGCTCTGAATTGCAGGAGATAGTGATTGGGTTCTGGGTTAGTTAGAGAGAGAGACTGGGTAGTTTGAGAGAGAGAGAGGTGTGGTTTTGGGCAAGAAGAGGGAGTGGTTGGGTAGAGAGTCTAGAGATAGAGGCCTCTAGCAAAGAAACCTTTAAAGAAAGCA